TGGATTTTGAAGTGCTTCCCTAGGAAACCAGGAAATATCACAGTGGAGCAATAGGTCCAAAAATGTAAGATCCATACGGTGATAAATCTCAGAATTAAGTGGTGAGGGACAGAGCAGGATCGTAACGTAAATGGTACAGATCCTTTGCATTTATAGAAATCTGGCGTCGCAGTGTCCTCAAAATGGTGCGACCTAGCTACTGACATAGCTCTCATACTTAAATTGTATATTCCACATGATAGCGAACGTATATTGCGTATGTTGTGGGAAAATCGTCGAGTCGAAGCAAACGTGAGTACTATGCGCGGAATGACTATAACGAGCGACTGAAACCTCCTTGAATGAACACACCGAGATCCATTTCGCGAAGCCAGTCTTCTAGTTCAAGTTCAAGTGGGCCCGGAACAGTAGGAGAAATTCCCGTGAATGTTCGTTCCGTGGCTTGTCGTTGATCCAGGGTATTATTCATTCGCGATAAATGGAATCTACACATTTTCTGGGAATGGCATCCATAACGCTTTCAAACTCAGCCTTAAAGAGATAGGATTCGTCCATACATCTTGCAGAATTCTCCTTAAGGTAATCAAATATCATCCACCTGGCGCGAACATACCAAAGCGCGGCTCTCCTTGGGTGACCTATCCCAACTCAAACAATGGCATTTCAGACTAGTTTACGAAATGAGTTACCAGATCATTTTGGGGGTGGCACAGATCGCGTGCGATTTGGTGGGTGCCCAGTCGCGCTCCAGGCTCGTATTTAGGCATGATTGGCTATACTGAGGCTTTAATGGACAGTCATCGCTGAGGCTTTAATGGACTAACTGGAAAAATGCAACATCTTGGTACCGGAACAGCATGGTTTCCGTCAACACCGGTCATGCAGCACCAACCTACTTATTGCACGAGGTAGTTGGACGGAAGTGGCCGATGATGGGGTCGGAGTCGACGTCAACTATCTGGACTTCTCCAAAGCTTTCGACCGCTTTTATCACAACATCCTACTTCAACGGCTTCAGAGTTACAGAATCGGAGATCCTGTACTTGGTTGGATTGACAACTTCCTTTACCAAGTGAAGCTTCAAGTACGTGTTAGGGGATCAATCTGGAACCCAAGTGAGGTGAAATGTGGTGTCCCACAAGGCTCACTGCTGGGACCGCGTTTATTCCTGGTGTTTATCAAAGACCTGGCTAGAGTCATCTCCTCAAATTTTCTGCTTTTCGCCGAGGACGTCAAGATATGGCGGGCGATTGGTAACAAGCTAAATGAGGATCTGCTCCAACATGACCTAGATTGCATTTGCGAATGGTCAAAGAGGAACATGTTTCAATTGAACATGGCTAAGTGCAAAGTGATGCATCTGCGTCACCAGCCTGTGAGCTGTTACAAGCTTGGAGACCACACCTTGTAGAGGGTCTGTCAGGAGCGAGACCTGAGTGTACTGGTGCAGGAAGATCTCGGTTGTTCAAAACAAGCAGAGAAGGCGAGGAGAATCGGCAATCAACACTTCGGCCTTCTTCGCAGAGCCTTCCGTCGGTTTGAACCCTCAATCTTTTCCCAAATTCTTAACGCCTACGTGTGACTGCACGTGGAATATGGTATTCAGGCGTGGCAACCGTGACAGAAACAGGAGCTTGTTGCATTCGTGACTCCTCAACGAAGGGCACCCAAGAAATTCAGGGGTCTCTTTCATCTGCTCTATCAGCTTAGACTGAAATCTCTAAGAATCTACAGCAGTCGATATCGGCTTTTGCGGGGGATCTCACAATGTTTTAGCAGATTCTGAAGAACCCAAACTACCTTTGCCGTCCGCTGCTGGAATTGAACCACAACACTTATCTAAGAGGTCATCCTCTGAATCTGACAATTCAGTATAACCGGCTTGAATCCCGTAGAAATATCTTTTCTTTCCACGTGTGCCAGCCTTGGAACTTCCTCCATAATTATGTCGTCTCTGCTCCCAATCTGGCGATATTTAAAAGCCGTGTTGACGATGAATTGTCTCACTTCCATTTCATTTTATGACTTGTTAGCCATTGGCTACAAAACGCAATCAAACGGTGTTTTGCTAAACGCCTAACCAATGGATTTATGGATTTATGCGTTTAATACGCGAATATATCCGGTATTCCACATAAGCCTATGGTGAGTCCACCACAGCGCTTTTCACTTTATTATGCAATCCATTTTTGCCATAATTTCCATCCCACGGGACTTGTTAAGCGATGCTTTTTTACCCGTAGTAAACCATTGTTCCATTGTTCCATTGAACCTACACACAGGCCTGGGGGTATACTCGCAAAACTCACCTGGTGCTATCTGGGCTTAGCAGTCACGGGTGATCATGGTGGTTGGCACTTAACGTTTCAGGTATTTCCACTTATACGTGAAATATGATTGCGTGGTGTGTCTGCCCATTTCATCGCTGAGCTGTCCGAGGCACCCACGTGAATGAGTGCGAATGAATTCACCCTTGGAAATAATGACATGAAGTCGCTCACCAAAACCGCTGTCGATGATCGCCTGGCATGGAAGTTGGGCTCATGACACCGGACGGACGTGGAAAGCGGGTGAACCGCAATTTGTTTCGGGCTGTCGCATGCTCACTGGGCGAAATGTTGCAAGGTCCGCTATTGATGGATGTAGAGATTCGAATCAGGATGAGTGTGCACGCAGTGCACATTAGCATCCACACACAACAGGTGAAGTCAAACATAAACCAAAGAGAGTCGGCGAACTGCGAGTCTGAATCCTCCACGGCTTCGCACTGTAAGTCGCTTCGGTAATACAGGATTACCCCTCCTCCTTTTGTGAGCTTCTGGTTCCGGATCAGCGATATGCCCGGTAGTGAAACTTCAGCGTCCGTCATTCCGGTGTGCAACCACTTCTCGGTGATACCAATGGCATCATATGACCCGGAAGCTTGGCGGTATTTCAGCTCGGCCAGTTTATTAAAAAGACACGGAGCATCCATATACAAGCAGGCCAGTTGCTCGGTCTCCGGGAGTCCACAGAGGGCTACTGGGGTCAAATGTGAGAGAATACCGACAGATGGGATGTCGGCAGTTACTCGCTTGTTAATGGGATAATGATACTGGTCATAAGCTTGATTCGGCCAAGGTTCGTTCTTTGTTTAGACCTACTTCAGAGTCAATTAAAGCGGCAATCAAGTTACGCTTCTGTACATTCGTCGGTACGTTTGCTGCTTCAGGTGCTTTAATATTTGAGCTATGCAAAGCTTCTGGACATTTAACCGAAGTTCAGAAGGAAGACTTTTCCGATTTCCCCGCCATCGATCCAAAACATCCGTTATTTGTTACCCTGACTGAACCACAAGTTGTAGGATTCTAGGGCCGCATCCTCTATAATTTGATGAGAGAGGTATCATGGTGAGTAATGACGCCACAATATTATCCAAAGAAAGTGTTTCACAAATGAACCGCCACTGTTTCAATCGTGCTTTCCACTCTCTTGAACATCGTTAGAAGGATGTTTTTGCACACCATGTATGAAGATGGTGTTTAGGTGGTCTTGCTTGCTGTGTCCTTCTTCGGTGATTCTTTGTGATTGTCACGCGCTCCAAGATAGATCAGGATAGATACGTATCCCACAGGATCCGTGTTTTAGCACGCTTGTGCATTTCAAAACATTTTCTACGTCGGTGGAGGATTCTAGTGTTACTAGAGTAAGTCTGGCTTCGCCAGTGTGGTGAGTTCGGATGAAGAGTAATTCGTAATAACTTTATGGGCTTGGCTTTGATACTCAAGTGCATGCACAATGAGTTCCATTGGTCTTGGTCGTCTGATAACTTATCCCGCAATGTGATGGCGGTAGATGCAGGGATATTTGACCATACAACAGTCCGGGCACTAATATTGGATTTCTTTTTCGTTGATCTGCAAGGTATGGTGCTCGTTTGTTCTGAACTGTTGACAAGTGTTGATTGTTTGCTGTTTGTCCCTCTACTTGCGTTAACGGTGTTTACAATGGAAGGGGCCGCAACGGCGGCCTCCAGATGGACCTTTACAGCAATCTCTCCATGTATAACTAATGTTCCAGAGGGCTTTGTCTCGACAAGAGACATTTGAGCTGCAGGTACCGAGGGTTGGTGTTCGGCTGCATCATCCTTGTGAATGCTAGATGTCAGGTCTAGTGGAATTTGCTTAACCAGACGTTTAGTGCCTGATCTTCGTTGCCATGAGTACTGTTTGACACTTTTGTTACGGTCAGTTTTCGCCCGGCGTTCTGCCAAATTTGGAGAAGACAACGGAACTGGGGATATGGCTGATTGCGGTTCAGAGAAAGCGAATTTTGCAGCATTCCGCTGCTTAGAGGACGCTACGTTTCAGTGGTGCATACTAGCTTCCATTGAAGTAATCTTATCGTTAATCCACTGCTCGGCTTCTGCTATTAACCGGTCGCACTTCTGAACTAGGATAAGCATACACTTAACTAGTAGGAGGGGGAGCACGCAGTACAGAAACAAAGTGCATCTTAGTAGCTATTTCGCTCTCGTACCTGTTGTTGGGGCATATTTGCACATTTCGGATGACACCCAGAGAGCATGCCCGACCGATGTTAACTACTCGATGACATTCTCCTAATCCGCAAATGCCTTTCGCTTGGAGCCTTTTCAGTTTCGCATTTCTGCCATTCAACTTGGTGTCGTTACCTGACTCAGTGGGTTGGTCAGCGTTGTGTATTTTTCAAGCTTTCAGAGTGCAGTGAGGTACCCTAACATTCGCCAAGCCATTTCCTCTCGAACCTCAGACTGAGTGCGGGTGCAGGGGAAATTTTTATCCCTCTTTCATCAACAGTGGTGTGAAACAGGATGGCCCAGCAACACCATTCCTGTTCACCTTCGTTATGGAAGACAGCCTGTAGAGTGCTGTGGACAATACTGAATCCAGTGGCGTTGAGCTGCTTCCGGAGGGCGGACTTCGCGAATTGGAGTATGCAGAGGACATCGTCGTGCTTCGCATGCTTGATCAGCTTTTGCCTCATCGCGCTCTCTTTTTGAGCACAGAAGTAGGCTGAAATTGAAAGAAAGGTGGTAGTGAATGACACGAATGCTTAATATAAGAGTTGATCATAGTCGAGCGCTGGCGGCTGTCAGCTGGCGGCGCATGCATCACGGACACGTCTGCTGAATGCTCGCTCGGACATTGCAAGATCTCCCCATCAATGACAGACATGCTCTGAAACCCAACTCCAGCGACTGAAATTTAGCAGTCATATTTGTTCTTTCTTCTCTCTCATAGTAAATATATTTCCCAAAAGTTGTGTCATTATGCTAATCTTATATATATATATATATATATATATATATATATATATATATATATATATATATATATCCTCGTCAGGCTCACGAAGTAGTGCAAGACACTGTTTGGTTGCGGTTCCCGCTTATATACCCACCGAGTGCAGTTCTGATTCTGACAGTGACATCTAACATGAACTGAACACGCTACTAAGCATTACAACCAGTTCGGACATTATTGTACTTGCAGGGGATATGAAGGCGCAAGTAGGTCGCCTGGCTCTTCTGAAGCTCAGCTAGCTAGTAATTATGGGTTAAACTCCAAACCGACTGACAAGGGCGAGCGTCTGTTGTAGCTGTGTGCGGTGTACTAGTTGTTTCTTAGTAGTCCCGCATTTAGAATCAGTGGGCGCTGAAGTGCCACTTGGCGTCCTCCTGTAGCTGACCAGTGATGGACCCAGATAGACCAAATTGCCATAAGTTACAGGCGGCGCGGTTCCACTCTGGATTGCTGCTCGTTCTGGAGTACCTGCGTAAACTCTGATCATGCTTTGGTACATTGTCGTCTTTTCATGAACTGCACCGAGAGGCGCTCCAAGCGTCTCCCGCGATTGGCAACTGAGAAATTGTCTCATCCTTTGGTCAGGCAAGCCTACCAGGGTACACTGCGCATTGAATTTTCACTCTCGTTTCCTAATGACACTGAGCTTCAGTAGAATAGGATCTCGGCCGCCATGCACAACGCAGGAACATCTGGTTGTGACACTAACAATCGTCACCGCACTAGTCACTGGATATCCGAGAGGTCGGTGAACCTGTTGGAATCCAGAAGAAACCTCCCGGATGGCTCTGAACACAGTGTGATCAGACGGACTTAGGCAGGAATAAAAGCGGAGCCTACGTGCTGACAAGGAAGCCTGGTGGACCGCTCGGGCTCAACGAAGCGGTAGGAGAAGTAAGCAGTTGTCGCGAGCTTTTCCAGCTGATCCGCAACACTGGTCCCAGAAAAACAGGCGTCAGTGAGACAACCAGAGACAGCGCGGTTGCGCTGATGCACAATAAGGAACGCCGTATGGTTCGTTGGGCGGAACACTCAAGATCAGTTCAGCTGCCCCCCTGCTCCCAGACCTCTTCCTACTCAGGTGATGCAGGACGAGCCATGAACGGATAGTTTAGAGCCTCCGTTGGAGGCCGAGGTCCGAAACGCGATCACAGCTCTCAATCGTTTTCGTGCCGCTGGCCCGGATTCCATCCCACCTGCAATATTTAAGGATGGAGGTGAAGTCCTCTGCAAAGCACTGACCTCCTTATTCGAACGTACCTGGATGGAAGAGAGTGTCCCGGCTGATTGGAACGAATCGATTATAGTGGCGATATACAAGAAGGGCAGTCGCACAGATTGTTCTAACCACAGCGGTATTAGCCCAACGCCAGTTGTGACAAAATTACTGGCGTCGATTCTCGTTTGTCGCATTATTGTGGAATGGGAATCTCGGATTAAGGAAGAGCAGGAAGGTTTTCGCGCAGGACGCGGTTGTACAGACCACATATTCACGCTGCGGCAGGTGCTAGAGCATCGCCACGCATACCGCAGACCGACAATCGCTGTGTTCCACGATTTTAACTGTGCTTACGTTTCACTTGACCGATGCATTCTGTTCGAGATACTTGTGCGGAAAGGTGTTCCCATGGAATTTGTGAACACTTTACATGCCCTGTACTCTAACACACCAGGACGCGTTTAGGTTAATGGTAACTCATCGGATATCATTCCGACAACTAGTGGCCTTCGTCAGGGTTGTGTGATTTCCTCATTTTTGTTCAATTACGTCGTGGACTCCACCATGGAGTGTTCGCTTTCGGAGCTGCACGATGCATGCGTTGAAGTGCTGCTTGTTGAAAAGCTAGTTTATCTTTATTATTCTGACGATACTGTCTTGTTGTTTAGGCGCAATCAACCCTGAATAACCTCTTTAGATAGGTCTCATCATTTGGTATGTGTTTTGCACCTTAAAAGTGCAAAGTATTATTGCAGGAACATCAGCTATTGGATGACTTTTTGATCCTTGATCGCGAGGAACTCTAGGTAGTTGCTCAATTCACTTACGCTTACAGCTGCGTCAGCAAGGATAGGCATATAAACACTGAAGCCAAGTCGCGTATTGCAAGAGCCAGAAGTGCATTCTTGTATCTGCGGCATATTTGGCGATGGAGAGGAGTTACCCTTCGTCTGATAAGCTGTGTTTACGAGGCCTTAGTCAGGGCCGTCCTACTAGGTCGGAGTGAGAGTTGGCCCATTTTTTTTGAAGATCTGAGGCGATTTCAACTCTTTGATCATCGCCGTCTGCATAGCATTGCTGGTGTTGGAAGGCACCAGCGTGTCCGCAACGATGATGTGCGCAGACGAGTACTGAGCAGTGTTACTCAGGCTAGTTGCTTAGAACAACAGAAAGCACTGAATAAGTTACGTTGGCTTGGGCACGTACTACGTATGTCTGGTCATCGGTTACCGAGGAGGGCCTTGTTTTGTCTGCCAGATATTGGGTGGCGCAAGGCTCGAGGTGGACGAAAGTTGACTTTGCAGCGGCAAATGAAGTCACTGACAACCAAACTTGGTGCCGTTGGTTTTTCGCCTTCCAGGCTGAAGTCAACGTGACCCGCCTTGTGATGGGCTCGAGACTTTACAGGACATGACTCGCAGTCGACACCAGTGGTGCGTTTGCTACCGTCTCGTAGTCGGACTGCCTGTTTAAAGTTTGTTTGGTGCTGAGTTATCTGCGGGGTAATGGCGGATTATGACGCGGTGCAGTGAAAGCCGCAAGGAAGCTGTCTCGCTGATGACGCCGTATCTTTGCACCATAGCCAGCTGTTTGTGACGGTATGCTGTTGTCAAGGTGTAGGCGCGTGGACTCTGAATGTTTGCTTAGGGCCATTAAAGTTTTCCGGTTAGTTCGTCTTCTCATCCTCTTATTAATATTTGTTCCGTAGGTCCTTGTGGTTGTGTAGCAGTGAAGTATACGTTCAAATGGCCGATGTATTGTCGATGATGATGAAGATGATGTTGGACTCATCCGGCCGTCGGGAAGGTTCAGTCTAGTCTTCACACAGCAGGTGGTGATTGTGAGTCCTCAGGGCTAGCAGGCGCCCGGTGAATTGCCAACTGCTGAAAAATCCCTTTGACTGGTCGAGTGAAACGACTGCGATAGTGCCGTGAAAAGGCCAAAAGGCGATGAGTAAAAATCGCCACTTGAAAGGAGGACAACTTATGAAGGCGGCGGCCAGTAAAATTACGTGTCACATAAGTTAAACCGTAGGGTACCGGATCTACGTACTGCTGTCTAGATGCACATCACGAACGATAGAGCCTGAGTCATCTTCTAGATTGGAAAGCTTTACGTTAGCAAACAGTTTACCATTACTCCACTAAGCTGCTCGTGTTTTGTGGCGAGTTTTGGCAACCTTCACTGCTCGACTGACTATTTTCAGTGAAAAAACTAAAGTAGGGGTTATGTGAAAGCATCATCGTCTAATCAAGATAGTACAGTGGGATCTACTTACTGCTGAAACATTGTAGTCAACGCAACTCAGCCCATACAATTCACCCGCGCAATTGAAACAACTTGTCAGCAACATCATCTGAGAGATACTTACTCCAAAGTCGAAGGTAAGTAAATCAATTGGTATAGTATTGCGTCGAGCGTAATTTTGCAGCACTCCAGTCAGGAAAGCTTGGGTGAAGAAGAATCCGGATATCCAATAGACAGTGGGTTTGCCGCTATCAAACCATTTCTGTAAATAAATAACCGTTAAAAAGTGCTAACAGAAAGATTAACCTTAATGGAAATGATAACTGTTTGACAACCACAAGATTAAGTGCAGAGGTTTCAAGGTAGAAATGAACATATTTCCAACTTCCAGTTAGGATTTACGGTTCCGTGAACATATTTCTCAAAATGTATATGACAATCAAAAGAAAGTGGAGCCTGGACCTTCTATAGTTGGGCGTTCACTTAATCGTCACCTAATGAGGTCGACAGAATACCTAACTCGTATTCGCACATGTTTGATCTACATATGGTTGCTATCTAGTTTAATCTAGTCCACTCTTAACTGACACCAAATGGAGAGATAATATGTATTTACGGAGTAGATGATTAAAAAATATTTGTTTGACCATCGCTCACTTATTTGTTGCCGATACCGAGCAGCGGTATGACTATGGTGGCCGACTGATGTTGGTGTACTTCACCTTCAGTGCCATCTACGCATTTATCGGCAGTGGTCCAATAAGACCCACACTCATTGAGTGATCTTCGTTCTATTCACCCACGGATCCAGCTTCATAGTTCGTGTCAGTGCACCGATGGAACAATGAAAAAATATCACACCACGGGTATAAATTCGGAGTCTTGACAAGCCCGGTAGGATGGCCCAGGTGAAATGCATGGAGTGCAAAGTAGCTCAGTGGTCTCAACCACGGACTGGCAACAGTCGAGTTGCGGGTTCGAGCCCTACTACGGGGTCCGATGGAATGCGCACTGCTGATGATTCCCGAAAGGATGCAACGCGCGCACAGTGCTTTTCCGGGCGTGTGGCGGCTGTCTGAGTGAGTCTAGATGTGACGAATTTCTACCTATACCATTCAACTCCCCCTACTACTCTTCTGTAAAAAAAACTGTCAACGTGGTGAACCAACCAGCTGTGGACTCATCAGACCGGCCACAGCAACATGAATGTAAATTTGCCTACGCGGATTTCGTTAAAGACAAGTGAGCACAGCTTTTCTAGGGTATATTCTCTCTAAGTGAGAATCTGCGTCCATATTTGTCACAGATCAAATATTTACAGGGGTTAATCCGATCCCATTTGCAATTGAATCGTCAAGAAGTGTTTGAGTTCAATCTGTTAATAAGAAAAGTGTTCACGAGTCGATGTTACAGCGGTTCAACCATACGAGGCAGCCGAGGAGGGTAGGGAGTGATATCGACAAGTTTCGGTAATCACCCCGTAATTTGTTTATTGATTCCTCCGGACAGAAAGGAGAGTTAGTTAGAAGTACGGAACAAGGTTGTTTTATAGATAAAAATCTGGTGCAGATGGGTTGACTTCAAATCAGAGAATTTTGTCATTTGCTATATGACGCTCGGCCCTTCATCGTACAACTCACGTCTATGTTAAGCATATCCTTCAATTTATTCACTGTCAATTCTCTGTTAACTAGAGTACGAAAACCACTCTTTGAGTCATAAGTTCTCAGATTCTGCGGTGGTTTGCTCCACATAACTGCATAGCGGTTAAGAAGGAAATTTGATCTTAAGCCAGTTCGTGTCTTTTCGATTTGTAACGTGTTATCTCTATTCCTTATATTATACTCGAGGGAAGGTTGAAGTACAACCTCAATGTCTGAAGTAAAGACTCGTTTGTGGATTATATCAAACATGAAGTTCAGGTCAAGTTTTAGTCTCCTTAACCTGAGGGGTTCTATGTTCATCTCACAGCAACGGTCATAGTAGGTAAGATCACCAGTGTTTCTCATTAGACGCTTCGTAAAGTAGTGATGTTCTATCACTTTTCGCAGCTTGCAGTATATTAACTGGCCATATTCGAGTAGGGGACGAATGCGGATTTTATACAGGTAGATTTTGGATTCATTAAAAATAAAGGATTTTAGCCGTAGCCTTCCTAGTTCAAGGGGTTTCGCAACAGTATATTCCAACTGTTCGGCGAAACTGAAGGCGCTTGAGTAGTGTATCTCAAGATCACGAATTGTGAGACAGATAGACAGGGCTTTGTCGACTAGCATTACAGAAGTTGGTGCAATACTGCACGGTTAAAATATGCAGCTACACTTCTCAAATGCGAGTTCTATTTTCCACTTGCTACACCACGTTTCCAACTCGTGCAGATCCGATTGTATGTCGACTGGTGCGTTAACGAAAATGTCCAAATGTAACTCATAAACAATTTTAGTATCATCTGCGAATACATATGGTCTGGCATGTTTGATGACATTGAAGACGTCGTTAATGTACATCAAAAACCAAATGGGCTCTAGAACACTTCCTTGAATAACGCCACTGCTCGTTGAAGTATTGCTTAGTATTTCAACTGCCTGATGCCGACCAAAAAGGTACGATGCTACTCAAGAATGTAAATTGCCAGATATACCGAGGGAATATATTTTCGATAGAACATTTCCCTGTGGCACCCGATCGAACGATCTATGAATATCAAGAAATATGATGAGCAGGCGTTTATCACGGTCAATGGAAGGAGTAAAGAAGTTTAGAAATTGTACTTGACAAGTAATACATGATCGCGTTCGCAGAAATCCGTGCTGGGAAGTGTTGATCGAATTCCCGGACGATAGGAATTCGACAATTTTGCCTTTTATTGCTCTTTCCATTGTTCTATACAGAATGGAAGTATGGCAGATGGACCGATAGCTCGTCTGTATTTGACGTGGGTCACTTTTATATCGTGGTGAAACTAGCGATATTTGCACCCATCTGGAACAACCCCAGAATAACGTAAAAATATTTTGAAGCAGTATGGGGATTTCAAGGACTCCAAATTGGTATTTCATCTGGGCCAGGATAAATGCTCGTTCGCATTGAGTTTATCAGAGTTCTTATGTCCGATTGCTCGAATTCAACAGTACAGAGGTAAGCTGCACTTTTAGCGGGGATGTTTACCATCGGTAGTATGTATCATCCTCATCATTACACACGTTAGCTGCAGGTGGAAAACACCTCAGCTATTTTGCCGCAATACAAAAGACAAGAAAAAGAACAAAAATACAGTGCCACGCCGGCTGAGTCTCCAGTAACGGATGGGCTTCGTTCCGGAGAGCTAACAACCGGCTATCGTGCCGCAAAAAGAGTTGTATTATTCCTGACGAATGTGATTGTGATTGGAGGCGGACGCTAAGCAGGAGGGTGATGGACAAAGGAACTCACAACACAAACGCCACTGGGGTCGGCTCGTAGCCATGTCAGCAAGTGTGTCCAACCAAACGTGTTCATCGTCCTTAGGACCCCAGCCAGGCAGACGAGATGCACCAACCGACGCCAAATTCGAAGTGAGGGTTTTAATTTCTCTCGACCAATTTAACGCTTGGCCTCCCCTTTCCTTCTAACAATCTCTTGATGCTCCTGCCATCACAGTGAATAATAAACGGTGCCCTAGCTGCTGCATCGAGCAGGGTGGATAGGCGTTTGGATGCTACTGCTCAGGCCTTTCCATCACCTTACTCCCTCTCCTGCGTTTTTTCCTCCTTAGCGTCCCGTTCCTACCTCACTTGCATCCGCCCCGATTTTAATCCCCTAATTCTTAGTCCACCCCACCTTGCTAGACTAGTCGCTTGTCTTCTAGTTTCAACTCACACACCATCGCCGGGCGTCGCTCCAATCCAATCGGTACTATGGACTAACTCTGTGCAATACGATGGGAAGTATTCATTGAAAACCTCACACATCTGAGCCGAGTTTGCAAAAAAGCTGCTGCTAGGCAATGTAATAGAAGGTGGTATATCATGCTTGAATTTGCTCTTGAGCTGGAATAGTCTATTCAATTTTTTATTTTTTGGTTTATTGCAGGAGGCTAAGGCACTGGTCTCGTCTCTGAGAAGTTTTGAGGACCGATTTGTTTCTTTGGATGACATTATTTGATTTTGCTGAAATAATAGACTAAAAGTAGTCTTTTTAAGTCTATATCGTAGATTGTTTAGCTTACGTATTACATGCGAAGGCATATTGGTCTGACTCGTTATGAGGGAAGTAGGCCTGTGACGCATGGAGCAGAAGATATCTGGACATGAAATTACGTTTTTATCTTCCAAGTCGGCTGCATGCTGAGGTTCAGGGGAAAGGAAATATCATCCCAGTCCATAGATCGCGATTTGATTGTAAAGTCTTTCCCATTAGTTTTGTGATAGTCGCGAAAACCTATCATCTTGTTGGATGCGTCGTGGTTGTAGGCGAATCCTTTGAAGCAGATCTCTGCTATCTTGTTGTCACTCCCAGGAAGATTAGGGAGGATGCACTTACTTCTAAAACTTACGCCGTCTGAAAAGATTAGTTCTAGCAAGTGTCCCCCTCTTGTTGGAAATGAAAGTTGTTGAATCCAATCAAATGCATGGATTGCCGAAACAAAATGTAGATATTTTGTTGGGGACCGGGGTGGATACCAGGAGATTTCGGGCATAATGAAATTTCCACCAATACTGTTCTGCTGTCGGCTGCTCAGAACGTATGTGAAGACTTCCACGAGGTGATCGATATCCGATTTACGACAGGTTGGTGGGCTGGACCCACAATCTATAATGATGGTCTTGCACTTTATTTGAATGTTAATACAAACAGAGTTATCAAGGTCATTAAGGAGTTGGTCGCACACGGAAGTTGCATTGTGTTTCTAGTCCATACACATGCGGCAACCGCCACCACGGCGGGATATGAGACTAATGCTAGAGCTCCGGAAGTTTGCGATGTAAAAGTGGGCATCAGAAGTATGTTCGTTTTCCCAAGTCTCCGTGATAAGTACAATGTTTGGACAAGATATTAACAGCAAAACGTAGGTGGTGCATTTTGTTGTTGAGAGACCGAGCATTTAAGAGGAGTAATTTAACATGCTTATGCTGCACAGGCAGATTTACTAAATGTTTGTACATGGTTGGACAGAGGGCCTCATGCCATGTAGTGGAGGAACTTGCGTGATTATAGTCGGAATACACGCTGCTGGTTTCAGGCATGTTTAGACTAGGTTGGTGATCTGTTGGAAGAAAAGAA